GGTCCCACCCCCCCTGCCACAGTTCCAACTGTGGGATGTCTCTGGGATGGGGCTGTGCAGCATCTTGGCTCCATACCCCCATGCTCCAGGGCTCCAGAGCCCAGAGATCTGTGCTGCCGGGGTGTCTAAGCTGGGGAGGGCATCTCTGATGGACCAGGAGGTGGATTTCGGAAGCCCTCAGCATGCTGGGCTGTATGGCTGATGGCTGGAGTGTCCCCCTCCAGCCCTGTCTGTGCTCCCTCGTGTCTGGTAAGGCCTGAGGGAGAAATCTGGGAGCTGCAGAGGTGTGACTGCAGGAGGATGTGGAGTCTGAGCTCGGACGTGTGCCAGATGCAGCCCCAGCAGCATTTTCAGGATGGGGAGCTGTGTCACAGCTGAGGCAGAGGAGACAACAGGGATGCCCTGTTCCCTTCCCCAAATGTTGGGTCCATGATCTCTGTTAGCCCCTTGGTGCATGGCTGGGCTCTGTTGACTCCACTCCAACCTGCTGACAGACCATCTCCGGCACCCCTGGGAGTCCTCCGGAGTGCCTCCACCCCCTGCTCCTGGGATCCCTGCTCCAAAGGGGGACAATCACCAACCAGCTCCCATTTCTCTGCTTGTTGCAGGTCCTTGATCACCTCGAGGACCACCTGAAGAGATCCCAATACTTCCGATTCCTGTGGTTCCCGCACAGTGAGAACGTCAGCGTCATCTACCAGGATCCCACCAACAAGGCAGGTCCCACCGGGCTCCATGTGTGCAGGAAGGGCCTGTGCACAAAGCTGGGTGCTCTTCCAGAGCTGGCAGTTTAGGATGGGCTTGCAGTGCTGAGGGTTGGATCAGGGAAGCAGCGTTTTGGGGCTGGACAGACTCCATGGTCTGGGGGTTCTGGGACACAGATGCAGCTGGGGCTGTCCAAGCTCTTAGCATCCTCATGCCAAAACCTGGTGTCTTTCTGGAGCTGGATGTGGCCCTGTTTCATCATGGGATGGAGATCTGGGGAGTCCTGGGGTGCGCTTCTCCAAACCCCAGCTCCCAGCTTGGTCCTGCTCCAGGCACGTGCTCCCACTTTCATGTCTGCTGGCAAGAAAGCTGCAAACCCTGCAAATCATCTTCCTCTGCTTGGCTTTCCTCTGCCAGCTGGTTGTGGGACTATGCTGTTGGCTATTATTTGCTGGAATTTCTGCTCTGGATCAGGTAGGAGCATTGTGTCTGGGAACAAGAGGGGTTGGGTAGGTTTGTCCAGGGCTGGCCTCATCCGGATCTGTTCCCTGCACCCCTGTGCTGCTTTGCTGGGAGTCCCAGGGAAGATGGCAAAGGAGGATTATGTCCTACAGCATCCCCATCCCCAGGGAAGAAGGGGATGATTGTTCTCCAAGCACGCTCCCGTGCTGGAGGAGCGGTTTAGGGCTGGGATTGATTTCTGGGGATGCACTGCCCTCTCGTGTGCACAGAGATTGAAGAGTAGCAAAGGAGCTTTTTGAGGGACATGTTGGCTGTGGGCATGTCCTGAGCACCAGGGTGGAGGGAGGAGACCCAGCCAGGTCGTGGAGGAGAGCTGGCAAGCAGGACACCGGTGGCAGGGAGAGCAGGGCTGGACTCCATGAAAAGGGAGAAAGAGGGACTGTGGCCACTTAGGATTCTATCACTTAGGTCCAGCCTGCCATTCCCTGGAAGTTCAAGGCCAGGCTGGATGAGGCTTGGAGCAACCTGGTCTAGTGGAAGGTGTCCCTGCCCATGGCAGGGGGTGGGACTGGGTGGGCTTTAAGGCCCCTTCCCACCCAAACCGTTCTATAATTCCACCCTGTCCCCAGGAGCTCTTGGTCCCCCAGCGTGAGGATGCCCAGTGCACAGCCTGGGGGGCACTGAGGTCTCGAGGGGGAGGAAAGGTGATGACAGAGCACCCCTTTTTCACCCTTGAAGCAAGAGGAGGAGGGAGCTGAGGGCAAGGGCGTGAGGTCCAAGATCAGGTGTAAGAACAGGCAAGCTCCTGGCAGGGCTACAGGACCCTTGGAGGATTGCAGCTTTGCGGGAGAGGGCATCCCTTTGCCCGGCATCCCCAAGCTGTGGCATCACAGCTCACATTTCCCCTTGGCAAATCCCTGAGCAGCATCTCTGGGGGTCAGGTCTCACCTCCTGCTCTCTCCCCTGCAGCACCTTCGTGCCCAGGTTGGTGTGCTGGATCAACCGCTTCTTCTTCTGGCTCCTCTTCAGCTCCCGGGTGGAGAATATTGACGTCAGCTACAAGATCTTCAACTATGAGTGTCGTTTTAAGCAGCATGTTCAAGACTGGGCCATCCCCATGTAAATGGCTCTGCAGACCCTCTGTCCATCCCCACCCCGGCTCCATACCCATCCCCTGCCCCATCCCAGGCTGCCTGGAGTGGGAGCAAAGCCATGGAAAAAGGGACTTGGCTAGGAGGCACCATTCCTACCTGCCAGCTGAGCATGGGGATCCTTCTGCATCCCTGTCCTGGGGTACCACACCATGTCTTGGGGCTTTGTGGGCCCCGAGCAATGGGAGGGATGTGCTGGGACATGGCAAGCCATTCCCTGAATTAGTCTGGGGCCAGGGATGGAGGGTTGGGGATAGGGGTTAAACCCAAAGAGAGCTGGCTGTGCATTAACTGGGTCTGGGGGCTTCTCCTGGGCAGCGAGAAGATGAAGGAAGCTCTGCTGGAGCTGAAGGCTGCCCTGGAGAACAACCCCAAGCTGGTGGCTCACTACCCTGTGGAGGTGCGCTTCGCTCGGGGGGATGAGATCTGGCTGAGCCCCTGCTTCCAGCGAGACAGCTGCTACATGAACATCATCATGTACAGGTGAGACGTGTCCCCACTCCGTCCCCATCTCCTCCTCTTCTTCCTCGCTGGCGTCAGTGTGCCCAGAGACCTGGCAGCATCTCAAAGATGGGATCCGGCACCTTTTCCTGCTCATCTCAAACACGTGCAGGCACCAAGCCAGAAGGGATGGCGTGTCCTTGGAGCACCCTAGAGCCACCCTCCTCTGGTTCTTGAGGATGGGGTCCTACATGAGGGTCCACTGGCCGAGTGCTGGTTCCCAGAGGGTTTCCATCACCCGGTGCTGGTCAAAGAGCCCATGATGGGTCCCGGGGGTTGACCTTCTCCCCAGGTGGGAGTTTCTTGGGGAGGTTTCCTGGGTGTGCAAATCCCCCCACAGCCCCTGCTAATGCCCTCCCTGCCTGCCCACCCCCCAGGCCCTACGGGAAGAACGTCCCCCGCCTCAACTACTGGCTGACCTACGAGGGCATCATGAAGAAGCATGGTGGGAGACCACACTGGGCGAAGGTACCGACATCCCTGCTCCTCTGGGAGGAGAGGGTCTGCAGAAAAGGGTCCCTTCCCCTTCTCCATCGTGGCTTCTCATGGGACGGGGTGTGTGTAGTCATTAGGTCCCAGAGGGAGATGTGTGACTCGACGTGTTCCCGTTCGCCACCCACCCTGGGCACATAGATGAGGGGATGGAAGTCCCACCACTTCTGCAGGGGCTTCCCACAGCACATGGGGGTGGGGGCCCAGGGCCAACAACAGGTTCCCCAGTGATAGGCAGCCACCCCCCCCCACCCAAACACTTTCTCTTCTGCAGGCCCACAGCTGCACCCGGAAGGACTTTGAGAAGATGTACCCAGCCTTCCCCAAATTCTGCTCCGTCCGGGAGAAGCTGGACCCCACAGGGGTCTTCCTGAATGCCTACCTGGAAAAGGTGTTCTACTGACGAGGGCAATGAGGGGGATGGAGGAAAAATCAGTCATCATCCCCAGTTCTTGGGACACCCCAAAGCTCGTGGTCCCAAGATGCTGCACCCCAGCTCTGTCCTCACCTGATCCCCATGCTCACCAGGCTCTGGGGTGCCTGGAGATCTTCCCTGGAAACCTCCTGGATCCTCCTAGAAACCTCCTGGAATCTCTCCTGGATCAGGAAGAACCATGTCCCTGTCTCCCCCGAGACCTGCACTGTCCCAAGTGCCTCCTGTCCAAGCCAACACCTCAATAAAGACCTTTCTTTGACCTTACCTGAGCCTGCGCTTTCAGCCTGGGCACGTGTCCGATGGAGGTGCCCAGTGCTGGGGACAGGGGAAGGGGCTTGGTGTCCCTGTACAGCCCCACTGCGGGGGTCAGGGCTGGGCATGGAGACCACAGCCTGGGGCTGGCGCTGTTGGTGTCCTCGAGCTCAGGCCATCTCCCCTTGCAGAGGCACGCAGGCAGATTTTGGAGGAAGAGGCTGCCTGCCAGGTCCAAGCCAGCCTGGCTCACTCCGGTGTGAGGGAAGCCATGCCTGGGCAGATGGGTTGTGTCCTCTCCCAGGTGGAACCGCAGCTGCCCCACGCTGCCAAAACCTGCAGGAGATGCTCCTCAGGATGCAACCAAGTGATGCCCATGCTCCTGTCCCTCCTCCTAAAAACCATCCCTGCCAGACTGACCTGAATGGTGCTGGTCCGAGCCCTGCTTGCATTGCCAAGAGATGGGGAAGGGGACATGGGTTTCTTGAGGGGAGTGGCAGGATTCCTCCGTATGGCCAGGACAGCAAGTCCACAGTGCTTTTAGAGACACTGTCCCAGCACCGTGCACCCTCCCTGCCCTGCGGAGTCATGCAGGAAGCACGTGCAACATTTTAAGGGAGAGTGACAGATCCTCAAAACTTGTGACACTTGCGGGTTTCACCCTCTCCCACTCCTGACATGGTTTCCCCATGTGTCCCCACAGCTTCACAAGCACCATGTCCTGGGTGCCTGGTGGCATGGCCGGGATTGCTGTTGTGCAAGATAGAGGAGGAGGGGCACCAGCCTTCATCATGGTGTCCTTTGGGTTGCTCTTCATGGATAATGACAACCCGTTTGTGGTTGTGCTTTGACTTGTACAGCCATCGGCTGGCACTGGGGTGGGTGTGCCGCAGCTTGTGTGTCTTTCTGAGCTCAGGTCACTCAAGGCAAGATGCTGGAGTCATGTCCAAGGTCAGGAACAAACCTGGTGTTCCAGCCATCTCCGAGCAAACAGGTTGAAGAACACAGGAGGAAGGTTTCAGTGAACACCCTTGTGTCACTGCTGGTCCTCAGGAGCATCAGGGATGAGACAACAGGTAGTTGATGAAAAAGTGCATCATCTAGACAGGCTGAGAGGGTTGAGGGGGTTCAGCCTGGAGAAGGGAAGGCTCTGGGGAGACCTTAGAGGCCCTTCCAGTGCCTGGGGTGGGGCTATAAGGAAGCTGGGGGGGGCTTTTTCCAAGGGCGAGGAGGGACAGGACAAGGGGTAACGGGTTTAAATGGAAAGAGGGAGATGGATATGGGACATCAGGAAGGAATTCTTCGGGTTAGGGTTAGATCATGCTCAAATAAAAAAAAAAATAGCTGCCTGTTTTACTCTAATTTGGTAATTCTTGTAAACTACAGATATTTTTCTAGAATTAACTCATTGTTATTTGTCTGTCTTTGAAGGACATCCTTTATGTCTGCTTTAGCATCCTAAATAGGCTCATGAATGCGTCCTGCCTTCCTTTCCCATCAGTAGGTGGCATACTCAGAAAATGAAAAAGCTAAAACCACAGAATCCGGGAGTCACTCGTTTTCTTGAGGAAGACACTTTAACTACTGGATGAGTCAATTCTGAAAACAGGCTGCGGGGCCAGTGAGTCAAGCCTAAGCAGGAAAGTGTCCTGCAGATGGATCACCCCATACAGCAGTGTAAAGCACTGCATTTTCCTTTCCCAAACATTCAAATCCCATCTAATTCCAACCCCCTGCCATGGGCAGGGACATCTTCATTTCGATCTGGTTGCTCAGAGCCCCGTCCAACCTGGCCTTGAATGTTTCCAGGGATGGGACATCCACAGCCTCTCCGGGCAACCTGTCCCAGTGTTTCACCACCAGCAGTGTAAACAATTTCTTCCTTATTTCTGGTCTGAATCTCCCCTATTTTGGTTTAAAACCATCACCCTGTGTCCTGTCGCTACAGGCCCTGCTAAAATCTCTCCCCAGGAGCAGGCTGGGGAGGGGATGCTCTTTATCCATGGCAGGACCAGGTCTCACTCACAGCCTCTCTTACGCACCCTGTGCATGGAAAATGGCATTCCTCGTAACGACTAATTCCCTGTGACATTTGATTATTTTTCCTAAGCTCATTACACATTTAAGAACATTGGCATCCAGACCATGTGGTTTACAGCACAACCCCATTGCTCTGCCAGTAAAATCTCTCTAAATGCCGATCCCCAGAGTGATTTTGACCTGCTCTAGCCCTCCTCTCACCCCCCTTCTTCTCACTGCCACCTCTCTGACCCACTCAAACCCTCCAGCTCCCTTCACCATCCGTGCTAACGACGTCCCTCTGCCCACCCAGCTTGTGGGAATTGCCCTTTTCTTCTGCCCATGATGGTCTGTCGAGGATCCCACCACAGAAACCATCTTAATTCAAAGGAATCATGTTCTTTAACAACCAAAATTAAAGGATTTAAGCACTGGGTCTGAGCTGAATGAGTAAACCCCATGATGTTGTTTTGGGTTGAATTGGCCACGTTCTCATCTTTCTGCAAACTGCGTCGCCTGCTCTTGCTGAAGGACACGATAAAGGGTTCAGCTTTGCCACATGTGCTAAAAGAGTATTTTTATTTCTTCTTTTTTTAAAATTTTATTTTAATTTTCCCTGGAACACTGGAAGGATGATGGTGAATATTTGCTACCTCCTTTGAGTGGTCAAAATCCTTGTTCCTTTTCTACCAGAGTATTTCCAAAGAGCAGCAATGAGAAAAGCCCCATTTCTTGACATCTTTTGAGGATGATCCATGGTTCCCATGACATATAAAAAGGAGTAACCAAGGACCCTTGTACATCACAGGCAGAGGAGCAGGGGATGCTTTGGCATTGCCACCTACATGGCTTCTGGACCAGAAGGCCACGAGCCCTGCCTCGGTCCTGCCTGGTGCCTGTCCGGCAGTGCCGGGGTAGCCAGCACAAGGGCGCCACCAGTCTCTGACAGCTTTGCCTTGGGTCAGGGGAGGTTTGGAAGCATTAGGAATTTTTTCCTCAACACATTTGCTATGCTTTGTAATGTAGGAGACTCTGAGCATGAATAATCCCATTTGGAGAGGAACCAGGTGTTGAAAATAGAAAAGGGCAGAGCAATAAAGGAAAAGATGCAGGTAGAGTCATGCACAGAGAGTTTGCTGGCTGGAAAGGATTACTGAAGATGCTCCGAGGGCTGGAGCCCCTCTGCCATGGGGACAGGCTGGGAGAGTTGGGGTGTTCAGCCTGGAGAAGGGAAGGCTCCGGGGAGACCTTAGAGCTCCTTCCAGTGCCTGGGGGGGTACAAGAAAGCTGGGTGGGGACTTTTTACAAAGTCAGGGAATGACAGGACAAGGTGTAACAGGTTTAACCAGAAAGAGGGAGATGGAGATGGGACATCAGGAAGGAATTCTTCCTGCAGAGGGTGGGGAGGCACTGGGACAGGTTGCCCAGAGAAGCTGTGGATGCCCCATCCCTGGAAGTGTCCAAGGCCAGGCTGGATGAGGCTTGGAGCAACCTGGTCTAGTGGAAAGTGTCCCTGCCCATGGCAGGGGGGGTGGAATCAGATGATCTTTAAGGTCCCCTTTAAGGTCCTGCCTTTGGGTGATGCCTTTGGTGGCTCACAATCTTTTTTCCAGACAAAATACTTGAGTTCTAAAACCTATTGCATAAATCCCTTGTCTTGATACTGTTATACTATCCCTTGATTGTCAAATCACATAAACCCATAACGCTTCTCTTGTGGGTCAACTGGAGGCTCTTCATCTCTGATGTGGATTGGGAAGCACGGACCTTGTCGAAGACAACTGGGGAAAGCTGGAGGGAAACTGGAAGGAGGTAACTTGAATGTTTTTCTGTTGAATAAAGGAATTTTTTAGGTTGGCAACTGTAGGTTGGGGAGAGGGGGATTCAGAGGTGGAAATCTGCCGTTGGCTGGTTCCTGGGCAGCTTGGCTTTAGCATCAACAGCAGCCCGTTGATGTTTCCCATCCTTGCATGAGGGACTGCTCAGATAAGTGGGAAGGAGGCATGCAAGTGGATAAAACCCCATCTGGAACATGAGAGTGAGGTGGAGGTAGGGCAGTAGGAGTTTGAAAAAGCAAAGGAGAAGACGAAGAGCCAGCTCCAGGATCTGACAGTGATAATTTCAGCAGCTTTTAATGCTCGGTAAAATTTTATGGATTATGTGGGACATCACTACTAAGAGGACAGAGCAATTGTGTGAGATGCAGGCTGTTCGGCGATGTTATGAATATGACACTCTTTGGAAATTTCAAGGAGAAAACAAGCTCTTGATCAGCTTCAGCCGATTTTTGTTTGGATACAATTCCCTGGTTGACCCCAAACCCAACTTTGCCATCTTCTTACTTAGCAAGCAAAACTGCAGTTCTTTAGGTGGTACTCTCCTAGCTTGGTTTTTCCTTTCCTGATTTTTGACCTCAGATGAGCTCTTCTACCTCATCTCTGGCCATTCAGGTCTTTCCTGTGTGTGGAAACCTGATGGATCCAGGCTGTGATTACTCCCACCAAGACTCATCACAGTTATTGGAGTGAAGTTCCTTTATACTGACCAAAGATCTGGCATTCCATCTTGACCGGAGATGACGGACACCTAGGTGGGATGTAGACTCTCCTAATGAACTCCTCATTTGCTTTGGGTGTGGAAGAGCAGGTTTGATGCTTCCCCAGCAGTTTTTTTGGGTATGCTTAGGTCATAGAATTACAACCTTGGAAGTACCAGCAGATACTAGTGCAAACTGGGAGTTCCTGGAGCTTAATGGTTCTGTCATCTGACCTCTGATGTTGTCGTCCTCTGCGACAGCAGGAGAGTATC